TGAGTGAGTGTACGTGTGAGTGAGTGTACGTCTGTGTGAGTGTCTGTGTGAGTGAGTGTCCGTGAGTGTACGTGTGAGTGTACGTGTGAGTCAGTGTACGTATGAGTGAGTGTACGTGTGAGTGTACATGTGAGTGAGTGTACGTATGAGTGAGTGTACGTATGAGTGAGTGTACGTGTGAGTGAACGTGTGAGTGAGTGTACGTGTGAGTGTACGTGTGAGTGAGTGTACGTGTGAGTGTACGTGTGAGTGTACGTGTGAGTGAGTGTACGTGTGAGTGTACGTGTGAGTGAGTGTACGTTTGAGTGTACGTGTGAGTGTACGTGTGAGTGAGTGTACGTGTGAGTGTACGTGTGAGTGAGTGTACGTGTGAGTGAGTGTACGTGTGAGTGTACGTGTGAGTGTACGTGTGAGTGAGTGTGCTTGTGAGTGTACGTGTGAGTGTACGTGTGAGTGAGTGTACGTGTGAGTGAGTGTACGTGTGAGTGAGTGAGTGTACGAGTGTCTGTGTGAGTGAGTGTACGTGTGAGTGTACGTGTGAGTGAGTGTACGTGTGAGTGAGTGTACGTGTGAGTGTACGTGTGAGTGTACGTGTGAGTGAGTGTACGTGTGAGTGTACGTGTGAGTGAGTGTACGTGTGAGTGAGTGTACGTGTGAGTGTACGTGTGAGTGAGTGTACGTGTGAGTGAGTGAGTGTCCGTGTGAGTGAGTGTACGTGTGAGTGTACGTGTGAGTGAGTGTACGTGTGAGTGAGTGTACGTGTGAGTGTACGTGTGAGTGTACGTGTGAGTGAGTGTACGTGTGAGTGAGTGTACGTGTGAGTGTACGTGTGAGTGAGTGTACGTGTGAGTGAGTGTACGTGTGAGTGAGTGTCCGTGTGAGTGAGTGTACGTGTGAGTGAGTGTCCGTGTGAGTGAGTGTCTGTGTGAGTGAGTGTCCGTGAGTGTACGTGTGAGTGTACGTGTGAGTCAGTGTACGTATGAGTGAGTGTACGTGTGAGTGTACATGCGAGTCAGTGTACGTACGTGTGAGTGTACGTGTGAGTGAGTGTACGTGTGAGTGAGTGTACGTATGAGTGAGTGTACGTGTGAGTGAACGTGTGAGTGAGTGTACGTGTGAGTGTACGTGTGAGTGAGTGTACGTGTGAGTGAGTGTACGTGTGAGTGAGTGTACGTGTGAGTGTACGTGTGAGTGAGTGTACGTGTGAGTGAGTGAGTGTCCGTGTGAGTGAGTGTACGTGTGAGTGTATGTGTGAGTGAGTGTACGTGTGAGTGTACGTGTGAGTGAGTGTCTGTGTGAGTGAGTGTCCGTGTGAGTGTACGTGTGAGTCAGTGTACGTATGAGTGAGTGTACGTGTGAGTGTACGTGTGAGTGAGTGTACGTGTGAGTGAGTGTACGAGTGAGTGTACGTGTGAGTGTCTGTGTGAGTGAGTGTACGTGTGAGTGTACGTGTGAGTGTACGTGTGAGTGAGTGTCTGTGTGAGTGAGTGTCCGTGTGAGTGTATGTGTGAGTGAGTGTACGTGTGAGTGAGTGTACGTGTGAGTGAGTGAGTGTCCGTGTGAGTGAGTGTACGTGTGAGTGAGTGTACGTGTGAGTGTACGTGTGAGTGAGTGTACGTGTGAGTGTACGTGTGAGTGAGTGTCTGTGTGAGTGAGTGTCCGTGTGAGTGTACGTGTGAGTGAGTGTACGTGTGAGTGAGTGTACGTGTGAGTGTACGTGTTAGTGTACGTGTGAGTCAGTGTACGTATGAGTGAGTGTACGTGTGAGTGAGTGTACGTGTGAGTGTACGTGTGAGTGAGTGTACGTGTGAGTGAGTGTACGTGTGAGTGAGTGAGTGTCCGTGTGAGTGAGTGTACGTGTGAGTGAGTGTCCGTGTGAGTGAGTGTACGTGTGAGTGAGTGTACGTGTGAGTGAGTGTCCGTGAGTGTACGTGTGAGTGTACGTGTGAGTCAGTGTACGTATGAGTGAGTGTACGTGTACATGTGAGTGTACGTATGAGTGAGTGTACGTGTGAGTGAACGTGTGAGTGAGTGTACGTGTGAGTGTACGTGTGAGTGAGTGTACGTGTGAGTGAGTGTACGTGTGAGTGTACGTGTGAGTGAGTGTACGTGTGAGTGAGTGTACGTGTGAGTGTACGTGTGAGTGAGTGTACGTGTGAGTGAGTGTCTGTGTGAGTGAGTGTCCGTGTGAGTGTACGTGTGAGTGTACGTGTGAGTCAGTGTACGTATGAGTGAGTGTACGTGTGAGTGTACATGTGAGTGAGTGTACGTATGAGTGAGTGTACATGTGAGTGAACGTGTGAGTGAGTGTACGTGTGAGTGTACGTGTGAGTGAGTGTACGTGTGAGTGTACGTGTGAGTGAGTGTACGTGTGAGTGAGTGTACGTGTGAGTGAGTGTACGTGTGAGTGTACGTGCGAGTGAGTGTACGTGTGAGTGAGTGTACGTGTGAGTGAGTGTCCGTGTGAGTGAGTGTACGTGTGAGTGTACGTGTGAGTGTACGTGTGAGTGAGTGTACGTGTGAGTGAGTGTACGTGAGAGTGAGTGAGTGTACGAGTGTCTGTGTGAGTGAGTGTACGTGTGAGTGTACGTGTGAGTGAGTGTACGTGTGAGTGAGTGTACGTGTGAGTGAGTGTCTGTGTGAGTGAGTGAGTGTCCGTGTGAGTGAGTGTACATGTGAGTGTACGTGTGAGTGAGTGTACGTGTGAGTGAGTGTACGTGTGAGTGAGTGAGTGTCCGTGTGAGTGAGTGTACGTGTGAGTGTACGTGTGAGTGTACGTGTGAGTGAGTGTACGTGTGAGTGAGTGTCCATGTGAGTGAGTGTACGTGTGAGTGTACGTGTGAGTGTACGTGTGAGTGAGTGTACGTGTGAGTGAGTGTACGTCTGTGTGAGTGTCTGTGTGAGTGAGTGTCCGTGAGTGTACGTGTGAGTGTACGTGTGAGTCAGTGTACGTATGAGTGAGTGTACGTGTGAGTGTACATGTGAGTGAGTGTACGTATGAGTGAGTGTACGTATGAGTGAGTGTACGTGTGAGTGAACGTGTGAGTGAGTGTACGTGTGAGTGTACGTGTGAGTGAGTGTACGTGTGAGTGTACGTGTGAGTGTACGTGTGAGTGAGTGTACGTGTGAGTGTACGTGTGAGTGAGTGTACGTTTGAGTGTACGTGTGAGTGTACGTGTGAGTGAGTGTACGTGTGAGTGTACGTGTGAGTGAGTGTACGTGTGAGTGAGTGTACGTGTGAGTGTACGTGTGAGTGTACGTGTGAGTGAGTGTGCTTGTGAGTGTACGTGTGAGTGTACGTGTGAGTGAGTGTACGTGTGAGTGAGTGTACGTGTGAGTGAGTGAGTGTACGAGTGTCTGTGTGAGTGAGTGTACGTGTGAGTGTACGTGTGAGTGAGTGTACGTGTGAGTGAGTGTACGTGTGAGTGTACGTGTGAGTGTACGTGTGAGTGAGTGTACGTGTGAGTGTACGTGTGAGTGAGTGTACGTGTGAGTGAGTGTACGTGTGAGTGTCTGTGTGAGTGTACGTGTGAGTGAGTGTACGTGTGAGTGAGTGAATGTATGTGTGAGTGAGTGAGTGTCCGTGTGAGTGAGTGTACGTGTGAGTGTCTGTGTGAGTATACGTGTGAGTGAGTGTACGTGTGAGTGAGTGAATGTACATATGAGTGAGTGTCCGTGCAGGACAGTTTCCCCAACAGGAAGAACTTTATGAGCACAGCTCGGCGTGTGGTCCAGGACCCGAGCACGTTCGGATATAGCCGCCAGGAAATCTTCCGGGTAAAAGCCTTGATGAACAAGGTCCGAAAGCAGCCGCCATCCCCCCCCATCACCCCCTTCCCCCCCGAGGCATTGAAGAGGACACCACTACCGTCGCCGCCGCCGGCTGGGGAGGAGGGTGAGGAGGTGGGAGCGGAAGAGCTACTCTGCTAGGTGAAGGGGTGTGAGAGGCCGGATGAAGAGCACACCGGACACTGGCTGTGAGCGGTGGCGACGTGGTGTGTGATGACGATGAGTGTTTATTGCCGTAAAGGCAGGTACACTGAATGCTTTGGAAAGTAAAAGCACACCGGACACTGGCTGTGGGGCAGAGTGAGAGTGAGTGAGAGAGTTGTGAGTGAGAGAGTGAGAGAGTGAGTGAGAGAGTGAGTGAGAGAGTGAGTGAGAGAGTGTGAGTGAGAGAGTGAGAGAGTGAGTGAGAGTGAGTGAGAGAGTGAGTGAGAGAGTGAGTGAGAGAGTGAGTGAGAGAGAGTGAGTGAGAGAGTGAGTGAGAGAGTGAGTGAGAGAGTGTGAGAGAGAGTGAGTGAGAGAGAGAGAGAGTGAGTGAGAGAGTGAGTGAGAGAGTGAGTGAGAGAGAGTGAGTGAGAGAGAGTGAGTGAGAGAGTGAGTGAGAGAGTGTGAGAGAGAGGTGAGTGAGAGAGTGAGTGAGTGAGAGAGAGTGAGTGAGAGAGTGAGTGAGAGAGTGAGTGAGAGAGAGAGTGAGTGAGAGAGTGAGTGAGTGGAGTGAGAGTGAGTGAGAGAGTGAGTGAGTGAGAGTGAGAGAGTGAGTGAGAGAGTGAGTGAGGAGAGAGAGAGTGAGTGAGTGAGTGAGAGAGAGTGAGTGAGAGAGTGAGTGAGTGAGTGAGAGTGAGTGAGAGAGTGAGTGAGTGGAGAGTGAGAGAGTGAGAGCAGGTGAGCGAGTGAGTGAGTGAGAGTGAGTGAGTGAGTGAGAGAGTAAGTGAGAGAGTGAGTGAGATAGTGAGAGAGTGAGAGAGTGAGAGAGTGAGTGAGAGTGAGAGAGTGAGTGAGAGAGTGAGTGAGTGATGAGAGTGAGAGAGTGAGTGAGTGAGAGTGAGTGAGAGAGTGAGTGACTGAGTGAGAGAGTGAGAGAGTGAGAGAGTGAGAGAGTGAGAGAGTGAGTGAGTGAGTGAGAGAGTGAGTGAGTGAGAGTGAGTGAGTGAGAGTGAGTGAGAGAGTGAGTGAGAGAGTGAGTGAGTGAGAGTGAGGAGAGAGAGAGTGAGTGACTGAGTGAGAGAGTGAGTGAGTGAGAGAGTGAGGATGTTTCGATGGTGGTGGTGGTGGTACCTCCAGCTCATTGATGAGTTCCTGAAAACTCAGCAGTAGCTGCAGCTGCTGCCTGAGCCCCCCCTCATCAGTCTGCGTGTCCACTAGGGACATGATGTCAAGCCGGCACCTGTGGGGGAGATGGGGGGGGGGGCCGCTAGGCGTGTGCCAACACCCCACGCTGCCAATGCTGAACACTTTGCTATACACTACTATACACTACTATACACTATTCACTACACTACTATAGACTACACGATTATACACTACACTACTATACACTACTATACACTACACTACTATACACTACACACTACACTACACACTACACTATCCACTACACTAAGATACACTACACTATACACTACACACTACACTATACTACACTACACACTACACACTACACTACACACTACACACTACACTATCCACTACACTAAGATACACTACACTATACACTACACACTACACTATACTACACTACACACTACACTACTATACACTACACACCAGAGGTGGGACAAAGTCATTGTTATGCAAATCCAAGTCGAGTTGCAAGTCTTTGTACATTTTGCCGAGTCGAGTCTGAAGTCATCAAATTCATGACTCGAGTCCAAGTCACATGACTCGAGTCCACACCTCTGCTACACACTACACTACACTATCCACTACACTATTATACAATACACTATACACTACACTATTGTTACTACACTACACTAAGATACACTACACACTACACTAAGATACACTATACACTACACACTACACTACACACTACACTAAGATACACTACACTACTATACACTATACTAAGATACACTACACACTACACTAAGATACACTATACACTACACTAAGATACACTACACTACTATACACTATACTAAGATACACTACACACTACACTAAGATACACTATACACTACACACTACACTAAGATACACTACACTACACACTACACTACTATACACTATACACTACACTAAGATACACTACACTACACACTACATTAAGATACACTACATTATACACTACACTAAGATACACTATACACTACACACTACACTAAGATACACTACATTATACACTACACTAAGATACACTACACTACACACTACATTAAGATACACTACATTATACACTACACTAAGATACACTATACACTACACACTACACTAAGATACACTACATTATACACTACACTAAGATACACTATACACTACACACTACACTATACACTACACTAAGATACACTATACACTACACACTACACTATACACTACACTAAGATACACTATACACTACACACTACACTACACTAAGATACACTACACACTACACACTACATTATACACTACACACTACATTATACACTACACTAAGATACACTATACACTACACACTACACTATACACTACACCAGAGGTGGGACAAAGTCATTGTTATGCAAGTCCAAGTCGAGTCTGAAGTCATCAAATTCATGACTCGAGTCCAAGTCACATGACTCGAGTCCACACCTCTGCACTACACACTACACTACACTATTATATACTAGTATACTACACTATACACTACACTAAGATACACTACACTACACACTACACTATACACTACACTAAGATACACTACATTATACACTACACTAAGATACACTATACACTACACACTACACTAAGATACACTACACACTACACTATACACTACACTATTATATACTAGTATACTACACTATACACTACACTATACACTAGTGCTGTACTAGTACACTACACTATACACTACACTAAGATACACTACACTATACACTACACTATTGTTACTACACTACACTACACACTATACACTACACACTACACACTACACTATACACTATACACTACACACTACACTACACACTACAGAACGGGGCGACTCACGCTTCATGATCCTTCAGCTCGGCAAAGCGCGCCAGCAGCTTCTGGCGCTCCATCTCCGACTGAGGCGGTGCCAGGGAGAGGGGCAAAGGGGTCCAGTGAGAAGCCACACAGCACACACACGCACACACACGCAGCACACACACCCACACAGCACACTCACGCACTCACACACAGCACACACACTCACACAGCACACACGCACTCACTCACAAAGCACACACTCACTCACACACAGCACACACTCACTCACACACAGCACACACTCACTCACACACAGCACACATTCACTCACTCACACACACACTCACACACACTCACACAGCACACACGCACTCGCTCACACAGCACACACGCACTCGCTCACACAGCACACACGCACTCACTCACACACACACACACTCGCGCACACACACACACTCGCGCACACACACACACTCGCACACACACACGCTCATACACACGCACACACACTCGCTCACTCATACACACGCTCACACACACACACACCACTCGCACTCTCGCACTCTCACCCACTCACCACCCACCCACTCACCACTCACTCACCAGGATGACCTTCTCACACATTCACCACGCACTCTCACACACTCACCACTCACTCTCACACACTCACACACTCACACACTCGCACACTCTCACCCACCCACCACCAGACTCACCACACACTCACCAGGATGACCTTCTCACACTCTCACCCACTCACCCACTCACTCACCACTCACCACCACCACTCACCAGGATGACCTTCTCACACTCTCACCCACTCACTCACCACTCACCACCACCACCCACCAGGATGACCTTCTCATACACTCACCACTCACTCTCACACACTCACCACTCACCACTCACACACTCACACGCTCACCACTCTCACACTCTCACCACTCACACTCACCACCCACTCACCACCCACCAGGATGACCTTCTCATACACTCACCACTCACTCTCACACACTCACCACTCACCACTCACACACTCACACGCTCACCACTCTCACACTCTCACCACTCACACTCACCACCCACTCACCACCCACCAGGATGACCTTCTCATACACTCACCACTCACTCTCACACACTCACCACTCACACACTCACACGCTCACCACTCTCACACTCTCACCACTCACACTCACCACCCACTCACCACCCACCAGGATGACCTTCTCACACACTCACCACTCACACACTCACACACTCACCACTCACCAACACCACTCACCAGGATGGCCTCAACCACTCACCACCCACTCACCCACTTACACTCTCACACTCTCACCCACTGACCCACTCACCACCATCACCACCACCACCACCCACCAGGATGACCTTCTCACACACTCACCACTCACCCACTCACCACACTCACCACTCACACACTCCCCACTCACACTCACCACCACCACTCACCACACTCACCCCCCACACCCTCACCACCACCACTCACCAGGATGACCTTCTCGCACTCTCACCCACTCACCACTCACACACTCACCCACTCACCCACTCACACACTCACCACTCACACCCACTCACCACCCGCTCACCACCCGCTCACCACCACCACTCACCAGGATGAGCTTCTCACGCACTCACCACTCACCACTCACCCACTCACCACTCACACTCACCCCACTCACACTCACCACCACCACTCACCACACTCACCCCCCACACCCTCACCACCACCACTCACCAGGATGACCTTCTCGCACTCTCACCCACTCACCACTCACACACTCACCCACTCACCCACTCACCACTCACACCCACTCACCACCCGCTCACCACCCGCTCACCACCACCACTCACCAGGATGAGCTTCTCACGCACTCACCACTCACCACTCACACACTCACCACTCACACACTCCCCACTCACACTCACCCCACTCACACTCACCACCACCACTCACCACACTCACCCCCCACACCCTCACCACCACCACTCACCAGGATGACCTTCTCGCACTCTCACCCACTCACCACTCACACACTCACCCACTCACCCACTCACCACTCACACCCACTCACCACCCGCTCACCACCCGCTCACCACCACCACTCACCAGGATGAGCTTCTCACGCAGGTGCGCCGTGTGATCCACAGACACCTGCAGCTCCCTGCTCAGCTGGGCGTTGGCCTCGTGCAGACTCCGGTTTCGCTCCAGCACCGACTGCACGCTGGCGGCCTGTCCCTCACCACCGCTGATGATGGTGCCAACACGAGGGGGGGGGGGGGCATGGGGGGGGTGGGGGAACGTCAGAAGAGACCCATAGAGATACACAGAGACCCATAAAGACCCATAAAGATACACAGAGACCCATAAAGACCCATAGAGATACACAGAGACACAAAGACCCATAGAGATACAGAACCACACAGAGACCCATAGATACACACAGAGACCCATAGAGATACACAGAGACCCACAGAGACCCACAGAGACACACAGAGACCCATAGATACACACAGAGACCCATAAAGATACACAGAGACCCATAAAGATACACAGAGACCCATAAAGACCCATAGAGAAACACAGAGACCCATAGAGAAACACAGAGACCCATAGATACACAGAGACCCATAGAGATACACAGAGACCCACAGAGACCCATAGATACACACATAGACCCATAGAGACACACAGAGACCCATAAAGACCCATAGAGACACACAGAGACCTGTAGATACACAGAGATACACACAGAGAGACACAGAGAGACACAGAGAGACACACAGAGACACACAGAGAGACACAGAGAGACACAGAGAGACACAGAGAGACACACAGAGACACACAGAGAGACACAGAGAGACACACAGAGAGACACAGAGAGACACAGAGAGACACAGAGAGACACAGAGACAGAGACTTTTTGACTTTTTAGGGCAACTTTATTCCCCCCTGCGCAATTGCGCCGGAGTCATTTTTTTTTTTTTTTTTTTTTTTTTTTTTTTAGCCCTATCGGCTGGAGACAGCGAAGAACGGCACAGTGCGCCACATTCTTGACGCGCAGCGTCATTGCCGCGTCGCCGTTTTCCGCCGTCGTCCGAGGCCAGCCCGTCAAAAAGTAAAAGTCAGTGTTCCGTCTGCCACGGTGCAGAGGGCCTGACCGGCCCCCCACCTCTCGCGGAAGACGGCGTGGTCGTCGCCCACGTGCGCATGGTACGCGTGCTCCAGTCGGAGCCGCGCTTTGACCAGTCCGCGCGTCGTCGCCACCGCCGAGCAGCCGGCATCCGACGCGCCGGCCAGTTTTTTCTGTCGGGTTTTGTAGATGGCCATTTTGGCTTGTGCACACACGAACCCCAGGAGGTCGTGGCTTTTGTTGGGTATGTACGGCACCCCGTACACAAACCAGTTCTTCTGGAACCTCAACCCCAGTTTCGTCGAGATGTCCCCCAAGAGCTTGAACAGCGGGGACAGCCGCGCGCACCCCACGTACTGGTGCGCCAGGTCTTCTCGCGCGCCGCAGAACACGCACCGGTCCGACGCCTCCGGGGTGATCTTATTTAGCCACGCCGCCGAAGGCAGCGTCCAGTGGAGCAGCCTCCACTGCAGGTCCCCGCAGCGCTTGGTGACGGGGGGCCTGTACAGGCGGCCCCACTGGGGGGTGGCCGTGCCCGACGGTGCCAAGGCGCTCCTCCACCTGGTGTCTGGGAGCTCCGCCAGCTCCCGGCAGCGCAGCGTCTTCACGCTGCACGCGTACAGCGCTCCTTTCAGCGCGCTGCGAAAAGGCACGCCCTGGCAGCCCCCGAGTTTTAGTATTTTTTCGGAGTCGTCACGCCCGGCGGGCCGGGTGCAGGTGAGCCGCAGCTCGGGGAAGGAGGGAGGGGGGGCGCCGTCTTCGGGCGCCACGAGCCGCAGCCGCAGCTCCCGCATCGCCCCGAGCGCCGCCCGCAGCAGCTTTTCCCCGGCCAGCACGGTGCGGAGTCCGGCGGCGCCGCTGACGTCGGCCGCGGACCTCCACGCCGGGTGCCGGTCGCGGTCCCGCACCAGGTCCCCCACCGCCCGTATCCCCGCCGAGGTGAAGCGGCGGGCCAGCGTCACTTCCTCCCGGATCGCAGCGAAGCGGCCGTTGATAAACAGCGGCTCGCGCAGAAACTGCCCGAGCGTGCATTCCGGGTCTCCCCTCTCCCAGGCCAGACTGCGCCACGCGTCCAGGAGGCTTCGGTGGAAAGCCGGCAGCCCCGCGTAGTCGACCCGGGCCAGGTCTAGCAGGAAGATTTCCCTCCCGTAGCCCAGGCCGCCCCCGGCGCCCCTCAGCAAGGCGAGGGTGGGTGCCACCCAGGGCAGGGTCTCCCTGCCGTACAGCAGTCGCTGCACGGTCTGCAGCCTGAAGGTCAGGACCCTGGCGTGGATGTCCACCAGGCCCTGGCCGCCCTCGCCCACCGGCAGTCGGAGGACTCCCGGCCGCAGCCAGTGCTTTCCTTGCCACGTGAAGCGGGTGAGCGAGCGGGCTGCTCCTCCGAGTAGCCACTCCGGGGGCTGGAGGGTCTTCGCTCTGTGCCACAGCACCGCGGCCGCCAGATTGTTGCCCACCAGCACCCGCCCCCTGAAGGACATCGCTGGGGCGAACCTCGCCCATGCCGCCAACCTGGCCTCGAACCGGTCCCCCAGTTCGGGCCAGTTTCGCTGGGTGACGTCGGGCCCTCCGAGGTGGACGCCCAGGTACCGGACGCCGTCGGTCCGCCAGGCGACGCCCCCCGGGAGGAGCACCGGGCACGCTGCTCCCTGCGGCCCCAGGCGCAGAGCCGAGGTCTTCGCCCAGTTTATTCTGGCGCCGGACGCCGCCTCGTAGGTCGCCACCGCCCGGCCCAGCGCAGCCACGTCGTGCGCGTCCGTGGCGACCACGCACAGGTCGTCCGCGTACGCCGACACCGCGACGACCGCCTCCTCGGGGCCCGGCACCTTGTACCCCGACAGGGTGAGCTTGAGGCGGCGTACGAGGGGCTCGATGGCCAGGGCGTAGAGGAGGCCCGACAGCGGGCACCCCTGCCTGACCCCACTCGCCACGGGGAAAGGGGCGCCGAGCTGCTGGTTGGTCTTCAGCAGGCTCGACGCACCCGCGTACAGGAGCCGCACGTGCGCCCTGAAGTCCGGCCCGAACCCGGACGCGGCGAGCATTCTCTCCAGGAAGGGGTGGCCGACCCGGTCAAAGGCCTTCTCCTGGTCGAGGAAGAGGAGGCCCAAGTCCGTGCCGTCCCTCCCCGCCAGCGCGATCACGTCCCTGACCGTGCTCACGTTGTCGTGCAAGCATCGGCCAGGGATGCAGTAGGTCTGCTCGGGTGAAACCAGCTGGCCCACCACCGACTTGAGGCGGTTGGCCAGCGCCTTGGCGAAGATCTTGTAATCGGCGCACAACAGAGAGACCGGCCGCCAGTTTTCGATGCGGCGCAGGTCTCCCTTCTTGGGCAGCAGGGTGACGACGGCCCTCCGGCAGCTCTGCGGGAGCAGCCCCCTCCGCAGGCTCTCCGCCAGGACCTCCAGCAGGTGCGGCGCGAGGTCGTCCCAGAAGGTGGTGTAAAATTCGGCCGGCAGGCCGTCGATCCCCGGGGCTTTGCCGGTCGCCAACCCTCTCGCCGCGGCGCGGAGCTCCTCTCCCGTGATGGGGCCCTCCGTTCGCTCGACCTCGGCGTCCGCCAGGGTGGGGCATCCGTCGAGCAGCTCCCGGGCCGCCTCTTCGTCCGTGTCACCGCCTCGGAACAGTGCGGCGTAGTAGTCCCGCGCGAGCCCGGCGATCTCCCTTTCGGCCGTGACAGTCCGACCTTCCCCAGTCTGCAGGCACGGGATGCTGCGGCTGTTGTTGTTGTTGCCGACGCTGGACTCGCGGTTCAGGCTGAAAAAGAATTTGGAGGGGGAGTCCATGTGGATGAGGTGCTGCATCCGCTGTTGCGCGTACGATCCCGCTGCTTGCCGGTCCGTGACCGCTCTAAATAGCTGCTGCTTCTCCAGCAGCGCCCGGCCTGCCTCGGCGCGAACGTCGCGAGAGGCTCCGAGTTCCGCCTCCAGGAGCAGCAGCTCGTCCCTCAGCCGGCCCGCCGCACTCCCGTTGGCGATGGCGTGCTGGCTCCGGACCTGCATGCACAGTGCCCTCGTCTGCGCCTTCACGTGCTCCCACCACGTCAGGGCGCAGTGTGAATTCTTTCTGGACGCCACCCACTGAGCCCAGCAGGCCCTGAACGTCCTCCTGAAAGCCGCGTCCTCGAGCAGCCTCAGGTCGAGCTTCCAGTACGCGCTGCCGCGCCTCTCCCGAGGGACGTGCAGCCGCACTGTGACCAGGTGGTGGTCCGAGAAGCCGACTGGGACGATCTTACATTCGCCGGTCCGGCTGACGCTTGCGGTACTGACGTAAAAACGGTCCAACCTGGCGAGGCAGACTCTCCCCCGGTAGTCACAACGGCTCCAGGTGTACTGCCGCTGCGTCGGCCGGCGTAGTCGCCACGTGTCCAGCAGCCCCTGCCTTCGCACGACGTCGGCCAGCGGCCGCGCGGACTCCGGGTGGGGTTCAGCGCCATTTCGGTCGAGGGCCGGGTCGAGCGTGCAGTTAAAGTCGCCTCCCACGAGGGTCAGCACGTCGCCCGCGTGAGCCGCCTCCAGGGTGTCCCGCAAGGGGCCGGCGAAAAAGAGCCCCCTTTCGCGACTTTTACTTGGCGCGTACGCATTCACGCACACCACCCTGGTGCCATTAATGGTAAAGCGCGCCTCAATCAAGCGTCCTTTCGCTATTTCCTTAAAAACGACGTCCTGAGGGCCAAAGTCCGGGCCGAAGACGAACGCGACCCCTGCCCGGTTCCCCTCGCCGTTGCTAAAGAAAGAACGGCCGCCCAGGAGGTGCTGTCGCCGGGCTTGCAGAGCGTCGTCGAAGTGGGTCTCCTGTAGGAAGGCCACGTCAATCCTGCTCTCCTTCAAGAGGCAGCACACTCGATGCCATCGTTTGTCGCCGCGGCCGCTGTTGCAGTTCAGCGAGGCTACCTTGACCCCCGGTGGTGGCGGTGGTGGCGGTGGTGGTGGTAGCGGTGCCATCGGAGTGTTATGGAGGGGAGTCTAAGGCTCTCCTGACCCTGGTTATAAATTTCTTCAGCCGGTAGATCACCTGCAGGCTGAAACCAAATTTGTCCGGATCTTGTGCCACCGCTTCGGCCGTCGCCATGAAACCCGGCCCGTCGGGGAACGAGTCCGCGACCACGACTTTGCGCCGGTTGAAGGCTGCCTTCATG